GGGAGCGCCACTGTGCTCCCAAGCGGCACACTGTAGCAGTGCGCCACCGGGCCGGCCCCAACTATTTTGCTTATTAAAGACAAAGTGTTAAGCAAGAAACTCAGAAAGAAGGATATGAACTCTGGACAAAATTGTCTGAATTCAATCCAGCTCCACCTCTACATGATATGATTTGGTCTGGTTACTTAACTGCTTTCTGCCTCAGTTTCCTATTTGATATACACTTGATGGGTTTTCACCTGGATAATAGTCATAGGAATTAAAGGAAATAATTTAAAGAGAGTGCATCACACATAGCAGATAATGAATGTTAGCTATTAATATTACTAATAGAAGACAAATTTTCAAGTATATTTATTCTTATGAAGATAAGAAAAACAGTTTGAAACACTAGAGTTTCCTTGCAACTTTTTAAAGGAGGAAGAATTTACAGACGTCTAATTTTGCAAAGAAGACAATAGAGTCTTCTTCGATTTACAATTTACAGTTGATATCTTCTCTGACAAGATATCAATTGTAAATGGAAAATAACTACACATTATCACGTAGAACAACTCGTCTAAAAGAAAAACAAACAAAAAAGCACTCTGAAGAAAATATCATAGAGAGTAGGTTCAGAAGTTCTATTTATTGCTTTATAATAATTCAACATATTTTAAATTGGGAATTCAATATGTAATTTCATCTGCAACTTTTTAACTACTTACAATTTTATCTCTAGTATTTATCTTATGGTTTAATAATATTGTCTTCCTTTTATAATTACATTTAAAATCACAGATCTCAAGTAGTTTTGTCATCAACTAGTATGTCGTCTGATCTTGAAGCTGAAACTATATACCAAAAAATTTTTCCTAAAATTGTCATGCTAGATAAGATTGCGTACTATCCTAGGTTTTTATATAAGTCATGGAAGATTATATTTGCCAATAAGTGATAAAAGGATATCTTTATGGAAACTAAAAAACGAGGAATATTATAGTTTGTGTTCTTTAATTATTTTGTGGAAATAGTTCAAAATTTTCTTTCTAGGAATAATTGCAATGGTGATTATAATCTATGCATATTAAAAAACTGTAGAAAATAAAGAGGAAAAACAAATAAAAATTCTATTCGTTACTAACTACCAAGAGTAAT